CGGCGGTGGATACCCTTGGGTCTCACCTAAAAAAAAGAAATAATTCCATCTAGAAGAGAAACGATGACTTCATGAAAATTACCTCATCACCAAACTTCAATCCACTTTAGTATTATTTATGCCGCTCTGGATAATATTCTCACAGGAATCGAATCAAGTCCAGGTAATCAACGTTTTATATATGTAATTTATTATGCCCCTTTGATCAGTATATAAGAGAGACAAATAATTAACATGTAAATTATAACTTATAATACATAAAAAGAGAAAAAGAACAAAAGCTAAAGGCTAAAAGTGATGACCAATTTAAAAAGGGCCATGGGGATGACTTGACTGGACACAAAGACAAAATCCTTGCACATTGATGACGATTTTATAAGGTGGCATTATAATTTATATATTTATAATAACCTAATCTTGTGGGCTATGCTGATAAGAAAATGCCAATGGATCTTGCAACCAATTTCTGTCAAGTCCTTGGTTAATAATTGAAGACAAAACAATGGGTTGCATATGATATGGTTCACTCACCTCTCGTGCATTCCACTATGTTTTCTTCCTTTTTCTTTCTTAATTAAAAGAAGTCGTAAAGAGTTTGTAGTTCAGTTGGTCGTAAAGAAGATGATCAATCATAGAAACACGAAAAACCAAATGATAAAAATCTAAGCTATTTAACAAACCCACGGATGATGTTTGGTGATCTATATTATTGGGTAAAACAGATGGCTCTACATACCAAATTAGGTTTTCTAATAAACTACGATTAATTTCACTATATTTTGTTAGCATAATCAGACTCAAAACTTCTGTTTAGATGGAGGTATTTCAAAAAGAGGATTTGAATTTGGCAACAAAGCTAAATTTACTAAAGAAAAATATTGAATGTATTTGAAATAACTAGATATAGTATATTTGGATTTGAAATTAAGAAAACAGAGCGGATTTCAAATGACTCATTGAACATATAGTCATTTCAAATCCAAATGGTACTACATGATCCTTGGCATGTTGTTTGCACCACCCGTAATTAGTGTTGAGCATTACCATTACATTATGCTCTGGACAAGAGTAATTTAATCTAAATATGAATCTCAAGAAAAATTGTTAGTTCTACACATTATATTTAGTTTCCACATATTTAATTGTCAAGTTATCAAACATATTTGTTTCTATGGGGTTTTTTTTTTACTACTAAAATATTGTTTTTGTGCCATTGCAATACACCAAGAGAGAGAGAGAGAAAAGAAGACTCATTTTCGAACCTAATCCAAATTTCATTGACCCAAAAAGAAAAACCAAATTTTCTATGGAAGAAAAGTATATGTTGATACTTTTGGAACACTTTTCGCTGTCAGCCTAAACCATTTGCTCTTCCCTCGCTCCATACTCATTTTCGTACCTAACCAACTACTCATTTGAAAGAAAATATAATTACATTATAACGAAAGTTGAAGAAAGTTTATCATTCATTAGAATAGATCATTTGATGTAATCACCCTTACATTTCCTGCTGAAGCCCTTAATATTACAGGAAATAAAAAAGGGAAAATGAAACAGAAACAACCAAGTAGATTGCCCTGCTGGGAGATCCAACCAATAATTATGAGCTTTGTCTTTTCATAGAGACATGAATGGACTCTAGTCTACTCAGAAGACCATTGCCCATGCCACATTTTCCACTCTCCTTCCATCATGCAAATATCTTTTCCATCCCTTCCGACAGTTTTCTCTTTTTGTCAAAGTTAGGAGACAGTGGGGCTTTTCTCACACACACTGCTGATGTCTTATTGAGGTTCGATCCTAATCCCGAGACCACTGATTTGCCAATGAAAATCGTTTTTTTCACACTTAGGTTAGACTCCATTAGCCTTTTTAAAAAAAAAAATCAACGAGTACATTCAACGCAAACTGTTCATTACTTGAATGATCATCCCGTCGAACACCTACAGTCTGCTTCCTCTCCCCCAATTAATACGATCTGCAGAAGATGTGTCTCCTAGTGGAGCTGGTCCAAGTAATTGACTTTGGCTTTTTGTCGGGTATCATGACTTCTTTTGCAGGCACAAAGTATGTGAACTAGAAAGTGTCACACAAGTGCATGCTGTGTCATTGCTCATATATACAGACATGATGATCCTAAAGCAACCATCACTTTGCTCTCCCCACTACACCACCAGTCACATTTCCACATACTAACCCACTCAATCCAAGCTTTTTGACCAACTTTTCCCAAAAATTTGTTTGGCTTTTTCCTCTTTTCATTACATGTTTGATACTAAACCTTGCACAGTTTGATATGGCCTTTTCAAGCTCTACCTCAAGTTCTTTTTATCTGGGGAATGGAACAGTTTTTTCTTTCTTTCTTTTTCTTCAATTTAGGGTTTAGGAGGATATAAATTTAGCCCTCCAAAATATTAATTTTTTTTAAAAATAGTGCAGGGCTAAATTTTTCCATCTCCAGCCATGCATGGCTATATTTTAGGATCTTTCATATTTTATTATTTTGAGAAAAATTATGATACAATACTCATACATTCCACAACTATATATTGTTTAATTTAATTAAACTACTATTTAGAGACAATATTCCATATATGACACATATACGTTGATAAGAACAAAGGAAACTAAAAAACAAAAAGGAAACTAAAAGAAGAAGGGAAACTAAAAATAAATAAAAATTAGATGGGTTTCAATGGTCTAACCTCCAACAGTCATAACCAATAATTTTTTATAATTTTTTTTTAACAACACTTGAAAATAGTTTAAAAAAATGACCACATAAGCTTTAAAAAAATAATAAATAAATAAAATAAAGGAAGAAGGGTTGCAATGGTTTGACCTCAACGGTCATGACCAATAATATTTTATATTTTTGTCTTAAACAACATCAATTGAAGCATTTAAAAAGGCTTTTTAAAATACATATATGTCCAGCTGACGTAATCAATGACGTCACTTTACTTTTGGCTGTTGAAAAGCAAATGCATGGGTCCCACAAAAATTTGGACTAGGCCAAAGCTGGGCTACATGTGGCCCGATTGGAGGGCTAAATGGCCAAATGTGACCCTCCAAATTTAGCCAAAATTTTGTTTAGCCCATGACTGGAGATGAGTTTTGCATTATTTTAGGGCTATATTTGGGATATAGCTCATGGCTGGAGATGGCCTAAAAGGATGGAAATATCATCGTTTATGTATAAAATTTCTCCAAGGAGGTTAAAAATTGGGAAATGACACAAGAACACGAGATATTTTTGCTCACAACTTTAACTCAAGGTGTACCCTCACCTATCCTTCTTAACACTTAACATGTGTACATGGGTATAACCATGGTTCCACAAATACAAAACAAAAAGTTAACTATGATTATGCTCATGAACACATGTTAAGTGTGATGAGAGTACACCTTGAGTTAAAGTGGTAAGCAAAAATATTTCCTTTACTAAATCGGGCTACATCAGTTGCTCGTTTTAAAGTTTTTTCACTATACGAACATAGCGTTACAATCACATGGAGGCTTTGAGAGCGTTTTCAAAGAGTTAGAGAAGCAAATGATAAAATTAGAGAGTTTGGACCTTTTTCACTCGTAGGCTTCAGTATGGCCATGCCTAACCCTACACACAAAAAATGGATGAAGCATTTGATACTATAATGACATAAATTTGAATGTGCTCCCTCAAAATAATGAGAAAACAGTGTCCAATTTAACCTACTTCCAAAGCGAAGTAACTATCAAGAAAACTCGATGTCTGCAGCTTGTATCATTACAACAGATTATTGCTTCTGGGTGGAGCATATCTATAGGCAAAGTATGAAAGACATATCCTCGTTGAAACCACTCAAGTGTACCCCAATAACTCCCTTCCCACATGACAATAAGCCATGCTTGAGCTCAACATAATGGTTAACTTTATCATAGTTTATTAAAATTATATAATTACAATGGACAACCCTTTATCATAGTTTTTTATTTTTATTAGAATACAACCCTTTATTAGGATGCAAGCGAATTGACTCATTATTCTGACTAACTGACCTAACTCACATTTGCATTTGGTCGATAGTGATAATAGAATTTCATACATATGTTTGGACTTTAGTGCAACGCCCACTCAGCCTGAAAGTTGGCATAAGCTATAAGCTAAGGTAGCCCGGATGACATTGGGCTATCACCATTTGGGTTCCACTTACAACCCACATTTCAGCATCCGCAGATCATATTGAATAGCTCATCTGGAGACCACACAAAAATGGATGCATTGACTATTTTTGTATGAATGGAGATATTTTCACAGACCTCGCCTAACTTAAATCTCTGCTATACATGATGGGCTAAGCTAGTGTCCAAAACTAATTGGGTTCCTGACTTCGAAATTCTCATCGTGCTCGCAGAGCATTGAGATTATATAATGAGAGATTATGTTGAGGGATTATAATGAGGGGATTTTGAATTTCTGTTTGATCAATAAATTCCTCAACATTTGACGGTTAAATTGAACCCCTCAATATACTCTCATCGCACGGGTATTAAATGAAATATAAACCCAACATTGTATTTCTAAGATCATATTTTTGTGTTGTTGACATATCTAGGACCATACTATTATATAATTCCTGCAACAAGGAGATTTCGGCAAATTGTCATTTTGAAACACTTTCATTTTTCAAGAGAGTGGCCTGTTTTGTTTATCTTTTAAAGAAATTACTACAATTACATTTTGGTTACATTGGAAGAAAGAAAACCCCATTGAAGTTCGATACTAGCCATGATTTCATTTACTCAACCATAAATTTAACATTTGATAACATAACATGTCAAATTTAAAGGTAAATGAGTCGAGTTAAGCCGAATACCAAAGTTCTCAAACTCAACTCTAATAATATTACTCAAGCTCACGCCCAGCTGAAGCCAAATACCATATTTGAAGTTAGCTTCTATAACATAATATTTCAAACTTGAAGTTAACTTAAAATTAACTTAAAGATAACGTCTAACAACATAACATGTTGGCCTTGAAAATAACTTATAATAACATAACATGTCAGACTTAAAATCCCAATAGATGATGTTTTGCAAAACACCCCTAGAGGAACTAAATCTACTTATTCAGGGAAGAAGAAAAAAGCAAATAAAAAACGAAAGGAAAAGGGGAAAAGGCCAGTTGGGCCTAAAACACAATGTTCCATTTCTCAAACTCAATCAAGGCCCCAAATACAAAGAAATTATTTAAAGCTTTGATGATATGATCCATCCAAATGCCAAAATGCCAACGTTAGCTCTGCTGCTGCTGAGAGTCTCTCTTCAACCCCCACCTTCTAATTCCGAGTTGAAACTGAGCAACTGCCGCCAAAACCTTCACGGTCTGCTCGGGGCTCAAGACCTCCACCACCTTCCTCACCGTCGACCCGCGAAGCCCGTCGGCGCTCTCGAAAACCCCCAGCATCGCCGTCTTCAGAGTCTCCATTGCCAAATCCAGCGACGAAATCTCGCCATCCATCAGCCTACCCACCCTTCTCGCCAGCGCTAGAATCGGCGGCGCCGCCACGCTCTCCTGTATCCTCGCCATTGTCTCCGACAGCTCCCTCTCCGCCCGCCTCGTCTTGCCCTTCACCGCCTCCATCTCCCGCGCCTGCTCCGCCGTCAAGTCCTCCACCGAGCTGTCCACCATGCGCAGCACCAATGAGGGCTTGAACCCAGCAAGCCAGAGCATGGTCCGCTCGAACGAGCTCAGCCACGGCGGAGAGAACAGCACGAAAACGTCCTCCTCCGCGGTCAGGGCCTTCTCTGCGAAGTATTGTTGGTAGTGGCACAGAACTTGTTCGATCAAATGCCTCTGTTGGTGGGCCTTGTTCTCTGAGCTAGGTAAATCCACCAAACGAAGGAGCTGATCTAGGAAGGTTTGCTGACGCTCCAACCAGCCCCCAAGAAACGCGATGAACCGCTCTCTTGCTGGATTAGCAGCAGCAGCAGCCATGTCGTTGAGGGGATAGACAATAAGCGAAGCAGAGCCAACAAGAGTGACTTGAAAAGAAGAAGGGAATGGTATGGCATCTGTTTATTTAGGTGATTTTCTTGGGAAGAGGAAATGAATAATTATATAAAATTCACTTTGGGCTTATGGGTTTTGGACTTACTGTGTTGAAAAGTATAAAACGGATATTCAAGTGATTTTTTTGTTGTTGAGATAATTGAGAAAGGTGTGTTCTTATGAGAGATCCCTCTTCTCAGTGTGTGTATATAGATATTGTGCCTTTGAAGGCTTAGGCAATGCAGTTGCTTCGTGGTGAAGGATGCCTTGGATTGGAAGACGACATGAAAGTGTGGTAGTGTGGCACTGTGGAAAACAGAGGGGGAGGGGAAGAGGGGTCAGGCAGTCACAGAGACACGTATTTGGCAACGTGGGAGACATTCAAGTTGCTCCAAATTTGCTCGGTTTTGTTTCGATGATTTTTCTGGTTTTGTATTCGTGTGGGGCCCACAACCGACATTGTCGTTGTAGATATGGTTTTTGGTGGCGTTGAAGGAATCAAAGAGGATGGTCCGTAACCAACTTATTTCGGCTGTTGCTGCTATCTTCTTTGTTTCCTTTTTGGGTAAGGAATCAAGCACGTTCTCAATGACGGAATATATACGACATTCACTGTCTAAAATGGAATATTCCTTTTAGATTACTGAAACAACTTTCGACTTTGAATTATTTTTTTCCACGAATAACCTTTGAAGGATGACTTGAAAAATATAGACAAATCCGGAATTTTGTTGAAGTGACGCTGAAGATATAAGAACAAAAGACAAGTGAGCCTTTGAGCAAATTGGTGTGGTGTGAGTGAGTCAAAGAACCTTTGATGCACTTAGATTGATAAGAAATTAGAGACGAGTTTTTGAGCCCGTCAAGACATGTTATCCCACCAACCATATGGTGCAATGATGCACGAAATAAATTAACTACCTGCCCTAAATTAGGTCATGAACCTATGAATTTAACTTAGAAAAACCAAGTCCTTAATTTAAATCAATGCTCCAGTTCAATTTGGGAAAAAACAAAACCTTAATTTGAAACAATGCCCCAATTTTAAAGTGAACCTTGAACAAACCCTAAATTAGGCTAAGAATCTTTGATTTTTACTCACTAAAAACAAATCTCTAAATTAAGGAACCCTAAATTATGCCGGGAAACCTATGAAACTATGTTGGAAAAATTAAATCCTTAATTTAGAACGAAGCCATAATTCATTTAATGCACTTTTTTGGGGACTAAATTCCACATATTCTAATTTTCAAATATCACTTTTCATTATTGATTTTAAATAGAAAAATAAAGGGTATTATTGAAAAGCTCAATAATTTTTCATTCCTAATGGCTAATCTAATGGTTTACAAACCAAACACAGAAATGAGAGGAAGTGGCCTTTGAAAAAAAAAAAAATTATTGAGAGGAATTGGCATTTCCTAGCCCTCATTTTTCAGTCTAAACACGATAATGAACATCTTCCATATCCAATCTCGTTCCTAAAAAAGTTCATTCCAAACACGGAAATAAACATTTTCCATTTTCAATTTCATTGATAAGAAGTTCATCCGCTAACCAAACTGACCTAATGCAAAGTCTGCGGGTTCCCACTGTACTTCTCATCCCAGTGGCGCCGTTTAATTAATCAAACCCTTTTAATTTTCTTTTGACTGAACTGAACTCTCAAGCTCAAGGCTGAAAGCAGCCTCGCCTCTTCTACCAAAATATCCGTGGACTCTACTCTGGGGTCTCTCAGCCCTATTCTCCTTCACGCCACCTTCTCCCAAATCTTCCGAAATCTTTCTCTCTCTCGCTAACCCTGATCTTCCTTATTCTTCGATTTCCTGCAACTTCATCTCCAAGGTAAGAAATTTTTTGCAATTTTTTTTTCGTGTTTATTGTCTTCTTCCAATTTGAACTTAATTCTTTCACTTCCTGGCGTCTCAATATTGTTAATCAATGCGTTTGATAGTTTCTTATTTCTTTTCAGTTCCTTAAAGGTCGAGGAGATGGCTGGTGTTCGGGAAATAACGGCTGCTGAGTTCTTACAGGTTCGTAATCTTCATTATCCTTGTTTGGTTCCTATAAAATTGTAACATCATATGAAAACTCTTCATTGAAAGTAACTTTTTTGAAAAATTTCTTTTTTTTTGTTGAAAAATATTCATTTCAGGGTACCAATAGGCAAAGCCTGTTTTTGCATAGAAATTCTGTGAAACAAAGAAGCCATGTCCTTTGGGGCAAGCTTCAGGGTCGCAGTTCAGCACTGGGTTTTGGTAAAAAGAGTGTGTTATTGAGTTGTCGTGGTAGACAAAAGCCCAGAGCTGTTATTTCTGGTGGTGTAAGCGTGTCGAAAGATGAGCAATCAAGCTTGATTGAGAGGCCTGCTTCGGAAGTTATTCATTTTTATCGTGTCCCACTGATTCAGGAGAGTGCAAAATCCGAGCTTCTCAAGACAGTTCAGACAAAAATTTCGAATCAGATAGTTGGTTTGAAAACTGAGCAGTGTTTCAACATTGGGCTTGATTTGCAGCTTTCTAGTGAAAAGCTTTCGGTTCTTAAGTGGCTTCTTCAGGAGACTTATGAGCCTGAGAATTTGGGGGCCGAGAGCTTTCTTGAAAAGAAAAAGCAGGAAGGGTTAACTTCAGTGATCGTTGAGGTTGGGCCTCGGTTGTCATTTACGACAGCTTGGTCTTCTAATGCTGTGTCAATTTGTAAAGCATGTGGGTTGTCAGAGGTGACTCGTTTGGAACGGTCGAGGCGGTACTTGTTGTTTAGCAAAGGTACATTGCCTGATCATCAAGTTAATGAGTTTGCTGCAATGGTGCATGATCGGATGACTGAGTGTGTTTATACCCAGAAGCTCACTTCCTTTGAAACGAGTGTGGTTCCGGAAGAAGTTCGTTGTATACCTGTCATGGAGAGAGGTAGAAAGGCATTGGAGGAGATTAATCAGGAAATGGGTTTGGCATTTGATGAGCAAGATCTCCAATACTACACTAGGCTGTTCAGGGAGGATATCAAGCGGAATCCGACAACAGTTGAACTGTTTGATATTGCACAATCCAATAGTGAGCATAGCAGGCATTGGTTTTTTACTGGTAAAATTATTATAGATGGACAACCAATGGATAGAACTCTAATGCAAATTGTGAAGAGCACTCTGCAAGCAAATCCAAACAATTCTGTGATTGGGTTCAAGGATAACTCAAGTGCAATAAAGGGCTTTCTTGTGAAGCAAATGAGACCAGTTCAGCCCGGTTCAACAAGTCCGTTGAACATAGCTAATCGTGAGCTTGATATTTTATTTACTGCCGAGACCCATAATTTCCCATGTGCTGTAGCACCTTACCCTGGTGCAGAGACGGGTGCTGGAGGTCGAATCAGGGACACCCATGCAACTGGAAGGGGTTCTTATGTTGTAGCAGCTACAGCTGGTTATTGTGTTGGGAATCTCAATATGGAGGGATCTTATGCACCTTGGGAAGATTCATCTTTTGCATATCCATCGAATTTGGCTTCACCTCTACACTACAGATCCTAATAGATGCTAGCAATGGTGCATCAGACTATGGTAACAAATTTGGTGAGCCCTTGATTCAGGGCTACACTAGAACTTTTGGAATGAGACTCCCAAGTGGGGACAGACGAGAATGGTTGAAGCCAATCATGTTTAGTGGAGGCATTGGGCAGATTGATCACACCCATATATCAAAAGGAGAGCCAGACATTGGCATGTTGGTAGTAAAGATTGGAGGCCCTGCTTATCGTATTGGAATGGGTGGTGGGGCTGCATCAAGCATGGTTAGTGGTCAAAATGATGCTGAGCTTGATTTTAATGCTGTACAGCGTGGAGATGCGGAGATGGCTCAAAAATTGTATCGTGTGGTTCGTTCCTGCATAGAGATGGGGGAGAATAATCCAATCATTAGCATTCATGATCAGGGAGCTGGTGGAAACTGCAATGTTGTTAAGGAAATCATTTATCCGAAGGGTGGTCAGATTGATATCCGGGCAATTGTAGTTGGTGATCACACAATGTCTGTTTTGGAGATATGGGGTGCAGAATATCAGGAGCAAGATGCAATCTTGGTGAAGCCTGAAAGCCGCGATCTTTTGCAATCAATATGTGAAAGAGAGAGGGTTTCGATGGCTGTTATTGGAAGTATAAATGGCGAGGGGCGTATTGTTTTAATTGATAGCTTCGCTATTCAAAGATGCCATTCAAGTGGACTCCCTCCCCCTCCTCTTGCCGTCGATTTGGAGCTTGAGAAAGTACTTGGTGATATGCCACAAAAAACCTTTGAATTCCACCGGATGACTGATTCAAGAGAGTCACTTGATATTGCTCCAGGAATCACTGTGATGGATTCGCTTAGTAGGGTATTGAGACTTCCATCTGTCTGTTCAAAGCGCTTCTTGACATCAAAAGTAGACAGGTGTGTTACAGGTCTTGTAGCGCAGCAGCAAACTGTTGGGCCCCTGCAAATTCCTCTCTCTGATGTTGCAGTAATCTCTCAGACTTTTACTGACTTGACTGGAGGTGCATGTGCTATTGGAGAGCAGCCAATCAAAGGTTTGCTGGATCCAAAAGCAATGGCGAGATTGTCTGTTGGAGAAGCACTCACAAATCTTGTTTGGGCAAAGGTCACTTCTCTATCCGATGTTAAAGCAAGTGGGAATTGGATGTATGCAGCCAAGCTTGATGGAGAAGGTGCAGCTATGTATGATGCTGCTACAGCTCTTTCAGATGCTATGATCAAACTTGGTATTGCTATTGATGGGGGAAAGGATAGTCTTTCGATGGCAGCCCATGTTGCAGGTGAGGTTGTTAAGGCTCCTGGAAATCTTGTAATCAGTGTTTATTGCACTTGTCCTGACATAACAAAAACAGTAACCCCTGATTTGAAGCTTGGAGATGATGGTGTGTTGCTTCACATTGATTTGGCAAAGGGAAAGCGGCGATTAGGTGGGTCTGCTCTTGCTCAAGCTTTTGACCAAATTGGAAATGACTGTCCTGACCTTGAGGATGTTCCTTATCTTAAGAGGGTTTTTGAGGGAGTTCAGGTCCTTCTAGATGATGAACTGATCTCTGCTGGCCATGATATCAGTGATGGTGGGCTACTGGTCTGTGCCCTTGAAATGGCATTTTCTGGGAACCGTGGCATTATCTTTGACTTAAATTCACATGGGATGGGCCTCTTCCAAACACTTTTTGCTGAAGAACTTGGTCTGATTATTGAGGTCAGCAAGAGAAACTTGGATCTCGTCATGGAAAAGTTAAAGAGTGATAGTATTTCTGCTGAGATCATTGGAAAAGTAACTGCCACACCCTCAATAGAGTTAAAAGTTGATGGAGTAACTCGTTTGAATGAGAGTACTTCTTTCCTAAGGGACCTGTGGGAGGAAACTAGTTTTCAGCTGGAAAAGTTTCAAAGATTGGCTTCTTGTGTGGATTCAGAGAAAGAAGGGTTGAAAGATAGGCATGAGCCTTCATGGGGATTGTCTTTCACTCCTTCTTTCACAGATGAAAAGTATATGACCATAGTTTGCAAACCAAAAGTGGCTGTAATTCGAGAAGAAGGCAGCAATGGCGACAGAGAAATGGCCGCGGCATTTTATGCATCTGGTTTTGAACCGTGGGATATCACAATGTCAGACCTTCTTAATGGAGTCATATCACTTGATG